GAGGCCCCTGTTGAAGAAGAGCAATTTAGATTTTAATGAATTAAACAATTATCGACCGGTATCCAACTTACCATTTTTAAGCAAGATTTTAGAAAAGTTGGTTTTAAATCAACTAAATGATTTTATAAACACTAATAATGTCCTAGAGAAATTTCAGTCTGGTTTTAGGGTGAACCACAGCACCGAGACAGCCCTTCTGAAGATTTTAAATGATTTTAGAGTAAATTATGATAAACAGAAGTTGACAGTGTTGGTTCTACTGGATCTAAGTGCTGCCTTCGATACGGTAGACCACACTATTCTTTTAACTCGTTTACAACAGATTGGCCTCTCTGGTGCTGTACATAGATGGTTCACATCCTACCTCACAGACAGGACTTTCATGGTGAGTTTGGATACCTGTTCCTCTAGGGTCCATGGGATTACATGTGGTGAGCCCCAGGGTTCAATTTTAGGCCCAGTGCTTTTTAATCTTTATATGCTCCCTCTTGGCAGTGTCATCAGGAGACACGGGGTCAACTTTCACAGTTATGCTGATGATACACAGTTGTACATCTCCGTGTCTCCGGATGACTCTCTGTCAATGGATGCACTTTTTAACTGTATTTTAGACATCGAATCCTGGATGGCAGAGAACTTTCTCCAGCTCAACCAGGACAAAACTGAAGTTTTAGTCATTGGTCCTGAGGCCCAGAGAGAGAAGCTTTTACCGAAATTACAATCTCTGTCTTTTAATCCATCTGAACAAGTGAAGAACCTGGGTGTGATTTTTGACTCTGAGCTGACTTTTATCCCACACATTAAAAATATCACAAAAATAGGTTTTTATCATCTAAAGAACATCGCCAGAGTCCGCCCCATTCTCTCTCGGGCCAATACGGAGACGTTGATGCATGCTTTTATCACCAGTAGGATAGACTACTGCAATGCCCTGCTTTCTGGTCTTCCCAAAAAGAGCCTCTCAGGCTTACAAATTTTACAAAATTCGGCAGCACGTGTCCTGATGAAGACCAGGAGGCGGGAGCACATGACACCAGTTTTAGAATCATTGCATTGGCTCCCCGTATGTTTCAGGATCAATTTTAAGGTTCTTCTAATGGTTTTTAAGTGTCTTAATGGTCTTGGGCCTTCTTATCTATCAGAACTGCTTTTACATTATGAACCCTCGCGGACTCTGCGCTCCTCTGGCAGGCGTCTCCTGGTCATCCCTAAAGTCAGGACACACACTCACGGCGAGGCGTCCTTCCAGTGTTACGGCCCTCGCCTCTGGAACGAGCTGCCAGAGGACCTCAGGGCCGCAGAGAACGTTCATGTTTTTAAGTCAAGACTCAAGACCCATCTTTTTAGGTTAGCTTTTATCTAAATATTTACTACAGTTTTATTTCTCGTTTTACATGATTATATTTTATTACTTGCTTTGCATGTTCTATATGATTATATTTTAGCACAGTTTTATTATTTAAATTATTATTTTACTGTCTATGATTTTATTTATTACTTATTTTCTAATTGTTGTCATTTATATTAGTTCTTTTATTATATTTTTACTCATTTTAATCCAGTGTTTCCTCTGTGGGGGCCCTCTGCCCCGGGAGCGGTGGTCGACTGTAGCTTCCTGGGCGCTCTATAGGTGGGGGTCTATGCTCCCCCTCCACTGAGCGCCCTGACTTAGTGTGGAAGACCTGATGCTGCCGGGGCAGACGGCTCCTCTGATGGCGTATCCTTGCGTTACCATACTTGGCTCATCTGGACTCAGCCTAATATAATTTTTACTCGTGTGTGTGTGTGAGTCTGTGTGTGTGTGCGTGTGATTGCATATGTTTGTTAATGTTTTTTAACCTGTTATGGGAATCTGGGGTCATTTTGTAAAGCACTTTGAATAACACTTTGTTTGAAAAGCGCTTTAGAAATAAAATTTGATTGATTGATTGATTGGTTATATCTAGAATGGGGGCAGTAACCAAAGGAAATGCTTCTTTAAATAATTTTGTTGGGATTGGATCCAAAATGCAAGTTGAAGGTTTAGATGAAGCTAATATTTTTTATTACTCTGAAAGCTCAACTGGATCAAAACTGTTCAAGCACAGATGAGGTTCTAATGCCATCTCTGATGCTGCCTCACTTACGGCGGAAGAAGAAATCGCATTAGGGAGAATGTTAAAGATTTTGTTTCTGATAGAATTAATTTTACTTGTAAAAATCCCATTAAGTCATTGCTGCTGAGGGCTAAGGGAATAGATGGCTCAGAGCTATGATTCTGTGTACGTTTAGCAACTGTACTGAAAAGAAATTTAGGATTATGCTTATTCTCCTCAATTAAAGCTGAGAAATAAGCAGTTCTAGTTTGTCGAAGCTTATTTTTATAAAGCACAAGACTATTTTTCCAGGATAGGTAGGCCACCTCATGGTGCGTAGAGCACCATGTTCTCTCCAATTTCCTAGAGTTTTGTTTTAAGGCTCGTAAATGAGAATTAAACCAGGGAGACAACTTCCTGTCCCTAATTATCTTCTTTTTTTAAAGGGGCAATATCATCTAATGTCACATGTAAAGAGGAATTAACATGATGAACTAAGGCATAAATTTGTGAGGGGCTAGAACTGAAAATATTGCCCTCTGCTACGTTCCTCTGAGATGCTGAGGACAGTAAAGATGGAATAGTTGATTTAAAAGATGCAACTGCATTGTCAGATAGAGACCGACTATAGTGAAAATTACTTTCATGTCTCGAAAACTCAGTTATAAAATACTCAAAGGTTATCAGAAAGTGATCCGAGAGGACTGGATTATGTGGAAAGATCGTTATTTCCTCACACTCTATGCCATAAGTCAGCACAAGGTCTAGTGTATGATGGCAGGAGTGGGTGGAGCTATGTATTCTTTGAGTAAAACCAATTGAGTCCAAGATATTACTAAAGGCTACATTGAGGCTATCATTTTCAATGTCCACATGAATATTAAAATCCCCCACTACAATGACCTTATCAGTATTTAGCACCAAATCAGACAAAAAATCAGAGATCTGATCCAAAAACTCAGAGTAAGGGCCTGGTGGATGATATAAAACTACAAACAAGAGTGGTTTTACAGTTTTGCAATCTGGATTAGGAAAACTAAGAATACGATGTTCGAACGAACTGTAGCTATTAATTTGTAAGGAACTGATTAATAAGTCCGAATGGAAAATGGTTGCTACTCCTCCTCCTCACCCTGTACTTCGAGCAATATGATGATTTAAATAATTTGAAGGAGTCGACTCGTTTAAGCTAACATAGTCCTCTTGCTGCAGCCAGGATTCTGTGAGAGAGAGCAAAGAGATCTGAGTATCACAAATCAAGTAATTAACTAACAAAGTCTTAGAAAAAATGGATCTAATGTTCAACAAACCACATTAAATTTTTCTAGTTTTTTGCTCAGTTGAATTTGTTCTAATATTTATGAGATTTCCATGATTTGCTTTATTATGCCTGATATTTAATCTGTGTGGTTTTGGCCGTGGGCAGTACACTGTCTCTATGGGGTAGTGGGTGGGTAACAGTACAGAAGCTGCAGAGGGGTGGGTTAAACTACCACTCTGCTTCCTGGTCTGGACCCTGGGTAGTCATGGAGGACTAATAAAACTGGCCATATTCCTAGAAAGAAGAGCTGCTCCATCCAAAGAGGGATGGATGCCGTCTCTCTGCATCAGACCAGGTTTTCCCCAAAAGTTTTCCAATTATCAATGTAGCCCACGTTGTTTTCAGGACACCACCTAGACAACCAGCGGTTGAAGGACAGCATGCGGCTAAACATGTCGTCACTGGTCCGATCAGGCAGGGGGGCAGAGAAAATTATGGAGTCCGACATTGTTCTGGCAAACTTGCACACCGAAGCAACATTAATTTTAGTGACCTCCGACTGGCGTAACCGGGTATCGTTACCGCAAGCGTGAATAACAATCTTACTGTATTTACGCTTATCCTTAGCCAGCAGTTTCAGATAAGATTTGATGTTGCCCGCTCTGGCCCCAGGTAAACATTTAACTATGGTTAATGGAGTCTCTAATGCCACGTTTCTGACTATGGAGCTGCCAATGATCAGAGTCGGCTTGTCAGTGGGTGCGTCACTGAGCGGGGAAAATCTATTAGAAACGTGAACGGGTTGGTTGTTACCCACGGGCTGGGTTCTATGCTTCCTGCGTACCGTCACCCAACCGGCCTGAGGTCCCGGCTGCTCGGGTTCTACTGGAGGACCGCTACGGGGTTGTTCTGAGCTAGTTAGCCCCGCGCTAGCTAAGTAGCTACGGCTGTTTACAGGTTTTTCAACAGCGCAGAGCCAGGACTCCAATTCCGACACCCTCGCCTCCAAAGCTAAAAAAATGCTACATTTATTACACGTACCATTATCACTAAAGGAGGCAGAGGAGTAACTAAACATCTGACACAGAGAGCAACAGATAGGAGATGGAGAAGCAGAGACAGAAGTAGCCATAGCCTTGCTGAGGCTAAGCTAACTGGACGAGCAAACTGTTCAACACCAAATAAACTGCGTGCGAACTCAAATGGTTCCCTAAAAGCTAGGTGGAACAACAGAAAATGTGTGTTTTTAGCGTGCTTTAGAGCTACAATAACTCAGAGATAGCCTGCTACAGAGAAATTAAATCGGTTTTAGCAAGCCCAAACACCAAACAGCTTCACGGAGTGCAACACTGAAAACAGGAAACAGGAAACGCCTTACCCCCAGGTGCAGCCAATCAGCCCAAGTTAACACTAAGACTTGGTGGTGCCCCGATTAACTAATATAAGATTATAAACAAGCTGAAGCTACACCACATTTGAAATATAGATGTAAAATCCATGTTAATCGCTACATGACTAAACATTCATTTTTATTAACTTTGGCATCAATATTGGTCTGTGTAGAAAAATCCAATCCTGTAAAAAAAAACGCTCCAGAAAAAAACCCAAACTGCACCTTAAGTCTAATATTAGTTTGTAAAAAAGAAACCATGAAGACAATGACATGAATGCATGTGGTTTTATTGATGTTTCTTCTGAGACTCAAACTTGGTGCTTGATTCAATCTCAGGCCAAGAACTAAACCGTAAGATGAAAACCATGAATTAAGTCTGTTGCTGTAGCACAAAAATGTTTATGTCACAAAACTTCAGGGTTGAACTGGTTCCTACTTAGTAACAGTCGTAGATCACGATCAGGTACTTGACGGTTCCGGGGCAGGGGTTTCCATAAACATCGTTACTGGCTGTGATGCTGCAGCTGTTACCCCCGTTACAGCTGTGGATGAAGAGCAGCAGGAGAACCAAACATTAAAGTTTTATCTCTGCATTATTCCTGGACTTCAGAGAAAAAGAGAGAAATGGTACTTTTCAGCAACAATAGTAGTGAAACTGGAGCAGAAGGTGTTTTGGAGCTGATATGGAGGATGTCCAAAGGAGCAGGTGACGGTGTCATGACGTCCATACTCAGCAGAATCCACGTAGATGGTCATTCCGAAAGCTGAGGTTAAAGGTCAAGCAGAACAGTTTTAACACACAACTTTCCGGGAGTCAAATGTAACTAAAGGAGACTAAATAACAAACTAACGAATCAGGAAACGTTCCTCACCGCCGTCTCCACCAGCGAACACTAAAGAAATGAGCTGGTTTCTAACCTGAAGGGTTTCTAAAATGGTAAAATGGTAAATGGTCTGTATTTGATATAGTGCCTTCTAGAGTCCTGGAATCCCCCAAGGTGCTTTACAACACAATTAGTCATTCACCCATTCACACACACATTCACACCCTGGTGGGGATGAGCTACAATGTAGCCACAGCTGCCTTGGAGCGCACTGACAGAGGCGAGGCTGCCGAGCACTGACGCCACCGGTCCCTCCGACCACCACCAGCAGGCAACGTGGGTTAAGTGTCTTGCCCAAGGACACAACGACAGACTGAGCGGGACTCGAACCTGCAACCTTCCGATAACGGGGCGAGCACTTAACTCCTGTGCCATCTGTGCCACCGTCGTTTGTGTGAGACCAGAGGAAACCAGAGGCTTACCACACTTCAGCTCGACCGTTGATTGCTCACATATGATGAGATGACCTGTAAAAAATATGAACTAAATCAGATGTTTTATAGTTTCATAAACAGTCATGATGCTTTCATCTGAGAAGCTGCTGCAGTAAAATAAAAAATAACCTACGTGCAGCGAAAGCTTCACAAAACATCTGTGGATGTAAAAAACAGAGTCAGAACCAGAATGAAGCCAGTAGAAACACATTTCTATGTGGACTGGTCGGACTGGTGGAACTGGGAGCTCTAAGATAAATCATTGGTGTTATTTTAAATCTGAGTGTTTAGCTGAAAGTGGATCATCTGTAAAACATGAACGAAGCTTCTGCTTCGTTGGTTTTAAACACGTTTCATTGGTTCGTTTCTCATCAGGTCGTCATGAGAAAATAAATCCACCAAAGTCACATTCATGCTGATTATTTAACTACAGAAGAACTTCTGCTGACTCACATTTCCGAGGAGCAGCAGGAAGAGCAGACGTGACGCCATCTGGGTAGAACGTGTCATTTTAGTGTTCAGGAGGAAAATCAACATTAAAAGACTTTTCTAAAAACTCTGACGTGGATATCATCACGAGCAGTAACAGTTGATGAAGAGAGGTCAGGGTTTACCTTGTTGTGATGAATCCAAGCAGCAGCAGCAGCAGTCTCTGGGTGAAGGATGCCTTCCTGAACTAAACACAGAGTTTATATGCCGTTGCTCCAGCTGGTGGACCTGTCAGTCACTGATGACAGCTGATTAGATAAACATGAAGACCACGGGGCAAACACACCCAACCCTAACCCAGGTAGTACTGGGACTGGTCAGTGTGGGTCAGCAGCAACGACCACACCTGAAGCTGCTTCACGTATCTGACCACCATCTCTCTCTCTTTGTGTCTCCAGCCCAGCAGGTTGGTGCTGATGGAGCACGATGCTGAGGTTTTCTAAGATAAGGTTTAGGTCAGCTGTTCTGTTGTTGACAAGAAGCTTTTAGTATAATCTGGGTTATAATCTGGGTTTTACAGCATTTTACATCCACGTCCACATTCTCCAGTTCCCTCAGTCTAATCCAGATTTTATTATCACTCCAACAGTCAGCGTAGTTTCTGTTGGATCTCAGACACCCCTGCACTGCTGACACCTCATACCCACCGCACAGACACCAGCCACATGCCCAATGCTCTGACACCTGAAGCACCTCCGAGGAAGCTCCTCAAACGTTCTGACCGAAAAGCTGAGATAGCCCAACATGACACGGGCAGGCAGCTCCACGGCATCAAAAGTAATCAATAGTGGAGTGGATCCACGAGCGTCAAATCTCAGACACCGAACAGCCAATGCCTCCGCCCCACCCAGGGAGGTAAACACGTCAGATTCAGAAACCTCATTGGACACGCCGTATACCAACCCCTTAACCAAAGCACCCTAACGCAACCCAGAAACCGGCACTCCCACCCCCATAGACGTTGAGGCACTGGGCCCTCCTTCGACAGACCACCATCAACAGACCAGGAAACACAACAGTAGCATCCAGCACATTCCCAATCACCGTACTGAGCTCCCTGGTCACTGCGAACAGGTTGGATGTTGCAAAACGTGCACCAGCCACCGCCCTGATGCGGTCCTTAAAGCTGCCCTCTGCCAGCCTCTGCTGGTTTGCCTGTGCGTCCCAGCCACCGTCCGAGGCATCACTGCTATCCGCATGGTCCCTCTTACCCGCCCTTGACACCGCCAAAGAATCGGCCGCCCCGGCCTTTCCATCTCCCTTCTTCCCCATTCACCACTGCAAAAGAGGCCAACTCAGAGCAAAGTTGAGCTGACGTGGATGTGACACCATGTACAGGGACGATGGAGTTTACTCGTTGGACCGCGCATGGGACTGCATCGTCGGAGAAGGGAGAGTGGGCAGCAGAGGGTGACAACGTCCTCTGCTGCCCGCGGATAAACGGAGAAGGAAGTGATGCCACTATCAGCGTCAGCCTGACGAAGTTTGCAGCCGCAAACGAAACGTAGTGGGAAAACAGGTAAACAAAACTATTCTGTGTTTTAAAAAGAACTACAACATGGAATTAGAGAAACAACTCAGCAAGAACACACCAAAGATGAACCTGGTAGTATTGATCCCTCTGTGTGATTGTGTGCTGAGCTCCAGACCTTCTTTCTTCACAAAGTCCGGGACATTAGGGATAGTCTTGTGCAACCAGGATCTGGCTGTCCTGATGTACCACCGGAACCTTCCTCATTCTCTAACTTTGCTCCCATCTCTCTTAGTGAATTGGCAGATCTGATTGGAAATATGAAACCAGCAGGTTCTCCTGGGGACCCTCTCACCCTGAAGATGGTGGGTGATATCATCCCTATTTTGGGCTCCGCCATCTTAGACATTTTTAACTCTAGCTCTAGCTTGTCCACTGGGGTGTTTCCTGCTTCTTTTAAGAAGGCGGTTGTGCAACCAATTAAAAAAAATACCTGGTTTAGACAACTCAAACCTTGCAAACATCCGGCCAATCTCCAAATTACCGTTTTTGTCTAAGGTCCTTGAAAAGATTGTCTATTCACAGATAACAGCACACACAAATAGCTTTTCTCTGGTTGATGTGTTCCAGTCTGGGTTTAGGCCACTTCACAGTACTGAATCAGCCCTTCTTTGAGTGAACAATGACATCCTGGTGGCTTCTGACTCTGGGTCTCCTGTTTTTCAATTCAATTCAATTCAATTCAATTCAATTCAATTCAAAAATACTTTATTAATCCCAGAGGGAAATTGATTGCTGTAGTAGCTCATAATAATAATAATAATAAAGTCATCAAAGAGTTGTTGTATATTACAATGGCTGTTGGCAGGAAGGATCTTGCTCCTACTGTTAGATCTTTCTGCAGCATCTGATACCGCTGACCACGATATTTTGCTGGATAGACTTGAGTCATGAGTAGGGCTTAGGGGGACCTCACTTCAGTGGATTTGCTCATACCTGTCAGAGTTTTCAAGGTTTAGTTGGGTAATTGTTCCTCTACATTCCTTTCACTTCCATGGGGAGTCCTGCAGGGATCTGTGCTTGGGGCTCTCCTGTTTTCAATTTACATCCTCCCCCTGGGTTTCATCCTGAGGAAATATGGCCTGGGCTATCATATCTATGCAGATGATTGCCAGATCTACCTGGCTTTGAACAAATCAGGATCCCCCTCTCTTCTGGACCAATGTTTGGCTGAAGTGAGGGTTTGGCTTGCCAACAATTTCCTGAAGCTGAATGATTCTGTCTGAGGCACTCCTCATGACCCCTAAAAAACCACACATTTATCTGATTTGGACACACTCCCATGTTACCTCAAGCAATGTGTTACCAACCTGGGGATGAAACTGGATGCCCACTTTTCCATGGGCCCTCAGATTAAAACAGTGGTCAGATTGTGTTTTTACCAGCTGCGCAGACTAGTTCGCTTTAAACCGATCCTGAAACGAGAAGAAGAAGAAGAAAAAAAATATCATTTCTATAGCGCCTCTCAAGATAAAAATCACAAGGCGCTTCACAAAAACAAAAATTGTAAAAATATGAAAAAGCATTTAGAAAATGTTTAAAAATATATTAAAATGAGCAAAAATAGGCAATTGTGATTAAAAAAATGTTAAGAAAGACAGAGAGTGAACAGGAAAGAGGGAAATCAGTGGATCCTGAGGAAGGTGGAATAAATAGGTGGGGAGAGCAGAATAAAGAGAGAGTGGTGAAGAAGGTCATACAAAAGCCAGCTTAAACAAGTGAGTCTTCAGCTGCTTTTTAAAGGAGACCACTGAGTCCACTGATCTCAGGTTCAGGGGGAGAGAGTTCCAGAGTCTGGGGGCCACAGCAGCAGATGATCTGTCGCCTTTGGTCTTTAGTCTGGTGTGCTGCACAACCAGTAGGCTTTGATCACTGGACCTCAGGGACCTGCTGGGGGTGTAGGGACTATGAAGATCACCAATGTAAGATGGTGCTTGTCCATGTAAGGCCCTATAGACCAGAACCAGGATCTTGAAATGAACCCTGAAGTTGACTGGCAGCCAGTGAAGCTGGAGGAGAAGCGTGGTGATATGGGTGTGTTTGGAGGACTTGGTCAGAAGCCGAGCACAGGCGTTCTGAACCACCTGTAGACGGTTCATGGAGGTTCTGCTCAGACACGTGAAAAGAGAGTTCCAGTAGTCTAAGCGTGAGGAGATGAAGGTGTGGAGAACTGTCTCAAGTTCAGAGCGGGACAGAATGGGACTCAGCTTAGCAACTTTCCTGAGATGGAAGAAGGAAGAGTGAACAAGAGAACTGACATGAGAATCCAGGGTGAGAGCTGGGTCAAAGGTCACACCAAGATTCCTGACAGAAGGTTTGGTGTGAGAAGCAAGCTGACAGAGAGAGTCTCTGACTTTGGGAACCAGCTTGTCTGGGGCACAGATGAAGATCTCAGTCTTATCTTCATTCAGCTGAAGAAAGCTCCCACCATCCAGGTTTTGATAGAGTCTAAGCAGGTGTGTAACAGCTGCAGCTTAGACATCTCATGGGGCTTAAAGGAGATGTACAGTTGCATGTCATCTGCATAAAGATGGTAGGAGATTCCTTTGAAGGAGCTCAGGATGTGCTGAAGAGGAAGCAGATAGAGGAGGAAGAGCAGAGGCCCCAGCACAGAACCTTGTGGGACACCATTGGTAAGGGAGGTGGTGGAGGACCTAAACTTGGAGACGGCCACAGAAAAGGAGCGCTCAGAGAGATAAGTGGAGAACCACTCCAGAGCAGATCCTGATAGGCCTACCCAGTCTCTGAGTCTCTCCAGTAGCAGGTGATGGTCAACGGTGTCAAAGGCTGCAGTCAGGTCCAGCAGGACCAGAACAGAACGGTCCCCTGCATCACTGTGAGTCAGAAGGTCATTAGAGACTCTAAGAAGAGCTGTTTCAGTAGAATGAGCTCTACGAAAACCTGACTGGAAGCTATCATAGATGTTCTGTTCATCAAGAGCAGCTGTGAGTTGTTTAGCCACAACCTTTCCCAAGATCTTGGAGATGAACAGAAGTTTAGAGATGGGTCTGAAGCTGCTATGGAGAGAGGGGTCGAGACTCGGTTTTTTAAGAAGCGGGTGGATTACAGCGTTCTTAAAGTAAGCAGGGACCTGACCAGAAACCAGAGTAGCATTAATTATAGAGAGCACGCTGGGACCGATGGACTGAAAAGCACTTTTAAACAAAGATGAGGGTAAGATGTGGAGGGGGCATGCAGAGGTCTTCATAGAGTTAACTAGTTTGGTTAACTCAGGCAAAGAAACAGGAGCAAAGCTATCTAGGATGATGGGCCTGGTTGGAGTCGGGAGAGGCAGCAATAAGGCTGAAGGAGAGATGCTAGATCTAACCTTATTGACTTTGTCCACAAAGACAGAAAGTTCTCACAATCTGTAACAGAGTGGATGGAGGCTGTAGGAGAGGCAGGAGAGACTACGCTGCTGATGGTGTTAAACAGCACCTTGGGGTTCCCTTTGCTCTGGGACACCAGGTTGGAGAAATAGGAAACCCTCGCATCTCTGACTGCAGAGTTAAAGGATGTCAGAAGATCCTTTAGGTGCAGCAGATGGACGTGGAGATGGGTTTTCTTTCACAAACGCTCAATTTTTCTGCATTGGCGCTTCAGGCTGCGGTCTGTCATTAAACCAGGGAGTAGGGTTCACTGCAGGAACTAATCTGGTTCTGAAAGGACAGATGTTGTCCAGAATGGAGAGGCAGTGCTCGCTGAACTGAGAAGTTAAGGAATCTGGGTCATTATCAGAAGAACAGGGTGGATCAAAAGCAGCAGAAAAATTGCTAGCTGTGCTCTCATTAAGAAAACGAGAACTAACCATACGGCGAGCAGGAGGTGGGGACGCAGAAACTGACAAGTTAAAGAAAATGCAATGGTGATCTGAAATATAAACGTCCTCAGGACAAACACTGGCAGCATTTAGACTCAGGGTAAAAACAAGGTCCAGAGTGTGCCCCCTGGTGTGGGTGGGGCCAGAAACATGCTGGGTAAAGCTGAAGGAGTCCATGAGGCTGGAGAAATTCATAGCAAAGTGATCAGAGGGATCATCAACATGGATGTTAAAGTCACCAACAATAGCCAGTCTGGACAGCTTCACAGTGGAGGATAGAAAGTCACTAAACTGGGGCAGCAGTAGCTCAGGTGGTAGAGCGGGTTGCCTCATGATCGGAGGGTCATGGGCTCGATTCCAGCTCCTGCCAGGGGTCTCCTGCTGTTGTGTCCTTGGGCAAGACACTTCACCCAACTTGCCTGTGTTAGTGGTGGTCAGAGGGGCCGAGGGCACCAAATCGCAGCCTCGCCTCTGTCAGACCTCCCCAGAGCGGCTGTGGCTACAAGTAGCTTACCATCACTAGCAGTGTGTGAATGTGAGAGTATGTGGAAAGCGTCTGTGGGTGTCTAGAAAAGCGCTATATAAGTTCAATGCATTATTATTATTATTATTATTATTAAACTCCTGAAGGAAAGAACTGTTTGGACCAGGTGGACGATAGACCACAGCACAGTAGAACGGGTCCTTACGCCCGACTTTAATCAGCTGCAGTTCAAAGGAGGTAAAGTGACCAGAGTTTGTAGAGCTACATGGAAGATGGTCTTTGAAAACAACAGCTAGGCCTCCACCACGACCAGAACCCCGGGGCTGGCTAAGAAAAGAACAACCACTCGGGCAGAGTTCAATCAGACCAGAATAATAAGATGTTTGCTGCCAAACTTCAGTCAGAAACAGAAAATCCAGGTTTTTAGAGAGAATTAGATCATTGAGCAGGAAGGACTTATTGTTAACAGAGCGGGTATTTAATAGAGCCATGCTGAGTGAGGTGGAGGAATCAGAAACTACACAAACAGCTGGAGTTAGTGGACGTTAATTAGCAGTATTAGATCCACGGTGTTTATAAAAACCACTTATGGAGGGAACAGGAGGATAAAACACTAAGGAATGAGGATAAACCGACCTTAAAAAACTTGGACGGAGAAGCCTCGCCGCAACGCGGCCTGGCGGGAATGCGGAAGTGGCGCTCAGGTCACCAAACAAAGGAAGAGAAGCCAGAAGATCACGCCAATGTTAACTAGATAAACCACGCTTTAGGAGAAGTCTTATTCCCACCTGGATTCCTGCTCCTTTACCTCTTTTCCTCCAACGTTTTCCCGGGACAGGATAAACATAGCTGGAGCCGCACAGGTTGGGATCGTTGTTTGGCTCCGGGCCAGTGCGCCACTCAGGTAAACAAAGAGGGAGGTACGTCCTCGGTGCATGTTGGGCGATTGTGAACGAACGGAAGGATAAAAGAGTCTGGCGATCATAGGAGATGGTAGCAGGGACACTACTGAAGAGGATCGCAGACAGGAGCAAGGTGAAAAGAGGAGGTTAGTGGAGAAAAGTTTGAAAAAGTGGCCGGTGACTGCGCACCTGGAATCCGTAATTCATGATTTTATCATCTCCTGACTGGATTACGCAAATTTCATTTTAATTGGTTTACCTGCCTCCACTCTTAACAGGCTTCAGGTCGTACAGAACGCGGCAGCCAGGTTTTTAACAAACACCCCTGGGAGAGACCATATCACACCTGTACTGGTGCGGCTCCACTGGCTGCCCGTAAGCTTCAGAGTCAAGTTTAAAATCCTGATTTTTGTTTTTAAGGCCCTGAATGGTCTGGCTCCAGATTACCTGTCTGATCTTGTGACTCGTTATGTGCCAAACCGGGCGTTGAGATCTGCTGATTGCCTGCTGCTTCGCGTTCCAACAATGAAATACAAAACGCGGGGGCAGCGTGTTTTTGTCTATGCTGCTCCGACACTCTGAAATGCTCTTCCTCTTTCATTGAGGCTGGCACCATCCCTCCTCCAGTTCAAGTCACTACTTAAGGTTCACTTTTACGACCAGGCATTTTTAAATCCCTGACTTTTATTATTTTACTGTGTGTCTTTTTATTGACCGTGTTTATCTGCTTTGTTGTGTATTTTATTGTTGACCGTGTTTTGTTTTTATATTGTTTTAACTTTTTATTCTGTACAGCACTTTGGTCTGCTGCCATGTCATTTTTAAATGTGCTTTATGAATAAAGTTGGTATGGTAAGAATCTATAACCAGCATCATTTTCTTACATTTTGCAAAGACCTGATTGAGTTTAGGCTTGAGCACCAGAGGCACCCAGATTGTGTGTTGGTCTGAGAAGAACAGCTGACTGGTTGGTGCTCTGGTGTCAGATGACTTAAAAACCAAAGTGAAACCCATCCAAGCACCAACATTTAGTGCTGGATGTAAAATGCTGTCAAACCCTGATTATAACCCAGATTATACTAAAAGCTTCTTGTCAACAACAGAACAGCTGACCTAAACCTTATCTTAGAAAACCTCAGCATCGTGCTCCATCAGCACCAACCTGCTGGGCTGGAGACACAAAGAGAGAGAGAGAGAGATGGTGAAGTCAGATACGTGAAGCAGCTTCAGGTGTGGTCGTTGCTAGTGACCCACACTGACCAGTCCCAGTACTACCTGGGTTAGGTGTGGGTGTGTTTGCCCCGTGGTCTTCATGTTTATCTAATCAGCTGTCCTCAGAGACTGACAGGTCCACCAGCTGGAGCAACGGTATATAAACTCTGTGTTTAGTTCAGGAAGGCATCCTTCACCCAGAGACTGCTGCTGCTGCTGCTTGGATTCATCACAACAAGGTAAACCCTGACCTCTCTTCATCAGCTGTTACTGCTAGTGATGACATCCACGTCAGAGTTTTTAGAAAAGTCTTTTAATGTGGATTTTCCTCCTGAACACTAAAATGACACGTTCTACCCAGATGGCGTCACGTCTGCTCTTCCTGCTGTTCCTCGGAAATGTGAGTCAGCAGAAGTTCTTCTGCAGTTAAATAATCAGCATGAATGTGACTTTGGTGGATTTATTTTCTCATGATGACCTGATGAGAAACGAACCAATGAAACGTGTTTAAAACCAACGAAGCAGAAACTTCGTTCATGTTTTACAGACGATCCTCTTTCAGCTAAATGCTCAGATTTGAAATAACACCAGTGACTTATCTTAGAGCTCCCAGTTCCACCATTCTGACCATTCCGCATAGAAATGTGTTTCTACTGGCTTCATTCTGGTTCTGACTCTTTGTTTTTTACATCCACAGATGTTTTGTGACGCTTTCGCTGCACGTAGGTTCTTTTTTATTTTACTGCAGCAGCTTCTCAGATGAAAGCATCATGACTGTTTATGAAACTATAAAACATCTGATTTAGTTCATATTTTTTACAGATCATCTCATCATATGTGAGCAATCAACAGTCCATCTGATGTGTGGTAAGCCTCTGGTCTCACACAAACTCTTGTGGTTAGAAACCAGCTCATTTCTTTAGTGTTCGCTGGTGGAGACGGCGGTGAGGAACGTTTCCTGATTCGTTAGTTTGTTATTTAGTCTCCTTTAGTTACATTTGACTCCCGGAAAGTTGTGTGTTAAAATTGCTCTGCTTGACCTTTAACCTCAGCTTTCGGAATGACCATCTACGTGGATTCTGCTGAGTATGGACGTCATGACACCGTCACCTGCTCCTTTGGACGTCCTCCATATCAGCTCCAAGACACCTCCTGCTCCAGTTACTCTGATGTTGTTGCTGAAAAGTACCATTTCTCTCTTTTTCTCTGAAGTCCAGGATTAAAGCGGAGATAAAACTTTAATGTTTGGTTCTCCTGCTGCTCTTCATCCACAGCTGTAATGGGAAAAACAGCTGCATCATCACAGCCAGTAACGATATTTTTGGAAACCCGTGCTCCGGGACCTACAAGTACCTGATCGTGATCTACGACTGTTACTAAGTAGGAACCAGTTCAATCCTGAAGTTTTGTGACATAAACATTTTTGTGCTACAGCAACAGGCTTAATTCATGGTTTTCTTCTTACAGTTTAGTTCTTGGCCTGAGATTGAATCAAGCACCAAGTTTGAGTCTCAGAAGAAACATCAATAAAACCACATGCATTCATGTCTTTGTCTTCATGGTTTCTTTTTTACAAACTAATATTAGACTTAAGGTGCAGTTTGGTTTTTTTTCTGGGTCATTTTTTTACAGGATTGGAATTTTCTGCACTGACCGATATCGATGCCAAAGTTAATAAAAATGAATGTTTAGTCATGTAGCGATTAACATGGATTTTATATCTATATTTCAAATGTGGTGTAGATTCAGCTTGTTTATAATCTTGTATTAGTTAATCGGGGCACCACCAAGTCTTAGTGTTAACTTGGAACACTGAAACTGATATTCAGACGTGTTCAATGTAATCAGTGTCAAATTTAACACCACAAATTAATCTGAAGGATGAATTATTGCCAGAAGGCGCAGACTATTCTCGAGATCGCTGGAAATGATCAGGCGTTATTAACGTTTTGTGATTTTATTACAAGTATCAGTTAATACAGATGACAAATGAACCAAACATAATTTATTATTTCATGCAAGAAAATAAGTGAATAAACCAAAGCTTTATGGCAGTGAAATGCAATAACTGATCGGTAATAAGACAGTGAAGATTTGGTGAGTTGCTCCGGGTGAGAGGCGGAGGGCTGGGGTTGGCTTTTTGTTAGCCCCGAGACTCTCTGCCTGTGTGTTGGGGTTTACCCCGGGGGACAAGAGGGTAGCTTCCTTGCGCCTTCGGTTCGGGGAACGGGTCCTGACTGTTGTTTGTGCTTATGGGCCAAACATCAGTTCAGAGTACCCACCCTTTTCGGAGTCCCTGGGACGAGTGCTAGATAGTGCTCCATCAGGGGACTCCATTGTCCTGCTGGGGGACTTCAATGCTCACGTGGGCAATGACAGCTTGACCTGGAGGGGTGTGATTGGGAGGAACGGCCCACCTGATCAGAACTCGAGCGGTGTTTTGTTATTGGACTTCTGTGCAAGCCGCAGTTTGGCCATAACGAACACCATGTTCGAACATAAGGATGCCCACCGGTACACTTGGTACCAGGGCAGCCTAGGTCACAGGTCGATGATAGATTTTGTAGTCGTATCATCTGACCTGCGGCCGTATGTTTTGGACACCCGAGTGAAGAGAGGGGTGGAGCTGTCAACTGATCACCACCTGGTGGTGAGTTGGATCAGATGGCAAGGGAACATGCCGCGTAGACCTGGCAGACCCAAACGCATAGTGAGGGTCTGCTGGGAACGCCTGGCAGAAGAACCTGTCAAGACGGTCTTCAACTCCCACCTCCGGCAGAGCTTTGACCACGTCCCGAGAGCAGTGGGGGACATTGAGTCCGAGTGGGCCTTGTTCCACTCTGCGATTGTCGAGGCGGCTGTTGCTAGCTGTGGTCGTAAGGTGGCCAGTGCCAGTCGTGGTGGCAACCCCCGTACCCGCTGGTGGACACCAGAGGTTCGGGGAGCCGTCAGGCTGAAGAAGGAGGCCTACAGGGCGTGGCTGGTCTGTGGGTCTCCGGAGGCAGCAGACAGGTACCGGATAGCCAAGCGGGGTGCAGCAGTGGCAGTTGCCGAGGCAAAATCTCGGGCGTGGGAGGAGTTTGGTGAGGCCATGGAGAAAGACTATCGATCGGCTCCAAAGAGGTTCTGGCAAACTGTCCGGCGCCTCAGGAGAGGAAGGCAGCAACTCGCTCACACTGTTTACAGTGGGGATGGGGAGCTGCTGACGTCAACTGAGGCTATAGTCGGACGGTGGAAGGAATACTTTGAGGAGCTCCTCAATCCCACCAATGCGCATTCCGAGGAGGAACCAGAGCTGGGAGGCCTGGGGATGGACTGTCCGATCTCGGGGGCAGAAGTTGCTGAGGTAGTCAAACAACTACACAGCGGCGGAGCCCCGGGGGCGGATGAGGTTCGTCCTGGGTATCTCAAGGCTATGGATGTTGTAGGGCTGTCATGGTTGACACGTCTCTACAACATTGCGTGGTCATCGGGGGCAGTTCCTAGGGAGTGGCAGACCGGGGTGGTGGTCCCCATCTTTAAGAAGGGTGACCTGAGGGTGTGTTCCAACTATAGGGGGATCACACTCCTCAGCCTCCCTGGAAAGGTCTACTCCAAGGTACTGGAGAGGAGGGTCCGATCGATAGTTGAATCTCAGATAGAAGAGGAGCAATGTGGTTTTCGTCCTGGCCGTGGAACTGTGGACCAGCTCTATACCCTTGCAAGGGTGATGGAGGGGGCATGGGAGTTTGCCCAACCAATCCACATGTGCTTTGTGGATTTGGAGAAGGCTTATGACCGTGTCCCCAGGGGCACCCTGTGGGGGACGCTCCAGGAGTATGGGGTGGGTGGCTTTCTGTTAAGGGCCATTCAGTCCCTTTACCAGAGGAGCGTGAGTTTGGTCCGCATAGCCGGTAGTAAGTCGGACCTGTTCCCAGTGAGGGTTGGACTCTGCCAGGGCTGCCCTTTGTCACCGGTTCTGTTCATCACTTTTATGGACAGAATTTCTAGACGCAGCCGTGGTGTGGAGTGTGTCGAGTTTGGTGGCAGGAGAATCTCGTCTCTGCTTTTTGCGGATGATGTGGTCCTCCTAGCTTCATCCAGCTCTGACCTTCAGCTCTTGCTGGGTAGGTTCGCGGCCGAATGTGAAGCGGCTGGGATGAGGATCAGCACCTCCAAATCTGAGACCATGGTTCTCGACCGGAAAAGGGTGGCTTGCCACCTCCGGGTCGGGGGAGAGGTCCTACCTCAAGTGGAGGAGTTTAAGTATCTCGGGGTCTTGTTCACGAGTGAGGGTAGGAGGGATCGGGAGATCGACAGGCGGATTGGTTCGGCGTCTGCAGTGATGCGGACGCTGAGCCGATCTGTCGTGGGGAAGAGGGAGCTGAGCCAGAAAGCCAGGCTCTCGATTTACCGGTCGATCTACGTCCCAATCCTCACCTATGGTCATGAGCTTTGGGTAATGACCGAAAGAACGAGATCGCGGATACAAGCGCCCGAAATGAGTTTCCTCCGTAGGGTGGCCGGGCTCAGCCTTAGAGATAGGGTGAGGAGCTCGGACATTCGGGAGGGACTCGGAGTAGAACCGCTGCTCCTCCGGATCGAAAGGAGCCAGTTGAGGTGGTTTGGGCATCTGGTCAAGATGCCTCCTGGACGCCTCCCCGGGGAGGTGTTTCGGGTATGTCCTGCCGGCAGAAGGCCCCCGGGTCGACCCAGGACACGTTGGAGAGGTTACATCTCCAATCTGGTCCGGGAACGCCTTGGGGTCCTGCCGGAGGAGCTGGTGGACAAGGCCGGGGAGAGGACGGCCTGGAGCTCCCTAGTTGGGATGCTGCCCCCGCGACCCGGACCCGGATAAGCGGAGGAAGACGAGACGAGACGAGAGATTTGGTGAAACATACAAGAGTGTGTGTGTGTGTGTGTGTGTGTGTGTGTGTGTGTGTGTGTGTGTGTGTGTGTGTGTGTGTGTGTGTGTGTGTGTGTGTGTGTGAGATCGTGTGGGTGTGGTGATGAAAGTGGGTGTGTTCGTGTGTGTACGTACAAATGAGGATTGGTGGCGGCAGAGAAATGAGAAGTTCTTTAAGTTACTGTGAATTTAAATGGAAATGAAACGCCATAAAAGTTTACGTCTGAATTCACTGATCGGGCTTAGCATAAAAGTCAGCCAAATGAAATGATGCACAGACCTGTTTTCCTCGTCGCCAGAAGGGAGCCAAAGGGCTGAGGCAGCCTTGGGGTCCTTACTAATGGGCAGAGACTTCTGGGACTGAATGATTCTGGCTCCCGGGTGTGTAGATCAAGCTGACACCCCACCCACATCAGAAATCCACGCAAATAGGCAGAGTGGTTAGTGCTACATTTGTGCTGATTTGTGCAGATGGAATTGTTTGAATAATATGTGCCTAAATCAATGAAGTTAAATGAATAATGTACTTACAATGATCCATTGCAGATCTTATGATCCGTACGTGTTTGATTTGACAAGTTAATCTTTATCTACACTCATACACATCTTCATATTAAGGTCACCTCACATAAAGTTTAAAGATTCTTTATCCACAGAACTAGAACATCTTGCATCTGAAGAAAGGTGTGGTTTTCTGAGAGATGTTTGGTAAAGCCTACAAACATGTCAAATTCTGTTTAGCCAGAAATCATAACATGGTGGATTAATAAATTTAGTGCGACTTCCCGAGTTGTTCAGTTTTGAGCAGAATTCCGAAGTGGCCAATTCGGAACCGGCCTCCTTGAGACATTTCTCTCTTCGACACACAGTCAACACCAGTTTGCACGCTGCAAGCTGACAACAGATGTACTGCTCCTTAATAGTCCATCCGTGTTAGACTCAACGAACCTTCCAGCCTGTTGTGACCTGGAGACATCTCAAGACTGGACTGGTCGCATTGTGGTTACTCTACGAACTTCGATGCCATGAGGCCAACCGACTTCTGACAGTCCGGATATGACCGGGGTCTCCGATCAGGGTTTGTAAACACAACAGATTGCATCTGATGCTGTTTTATTAATAATCAACTCTCTAGTTTAAAATTAAACAACAAATTCTTTTACACCCAGAATTCACAATCTCTTTCAGATAAAAAGGTTCTGATAAGCATCTACTTTACATCACACCACCTACACATCACATTCCCTCACCGCATATCCACTCCATCACATATCATTATTCATAGCTTGTCATTTATTATAATTAGTTTAGAAAAGAATAAAATTCCTTTTAACTATATACTTGACTCTATCTGAATTAATACGAAGTGTGTTTATGATCCCTGAAAGAGCAAATAATCCTAAATTCTTCTGGTTAAACATTCAAAGATCAATCAGATTGATATTCCATGTTTATATGGAATATCACATCATATTGGTTGTTACAAGATATCTTCCCAAGCTAGCCTAACTCTTCAACAGATGTTACGTCTCAGGGTTGACTTGTATTTCTATTTTGCGTGGGCGTGATATCAGCCACTCTTTAAACTGCCTGCACGCAGTAGGAGCTAATTAGCAATCACCACTAGCCAAGACTCTGATTCTGGCAACACAAACTGTTT